ATCAGGCAGCCACAGGAGCTTAGACAAAACCCACAGGCTCTCAGCCAACAAAGCCAGTGGCCTTGAAGGTACCACAGCTTTCAGCCTTTCTGATGAGGACCAAAATGTTTTAGATCTTTAGAGAGACTTTTTAATAAAGACAAGTGTTTTGCTGTGCCTAATTTCTTTATTGGGAAAGTCAAGTAACAGAAAAAAAAAATGTGGTTCTTTTTTTTTTTTTTTTTTTTTGGTCACACAGACTTTGTTTTAGAGTACACAGGGAAAGATACCTACTTTAAATACCCAAACCAAAATTACATAGGTCATTTTAAATCTTCCTAGGTACAATTCTGACTAGAAACCCTATCCGAGGTTGTTAAATCCAATTAACTCATCTCAGCTTTGAGCATCATTTTCTCCTCCTCTCCAGGAAATTATTAACCTTGTCCTCAACAGACTGTTAGGAATGGAATCAGGACTACTATCCTGCCCATCTTACCCAGCAAATCAAGACATAGGAAAGCACAATATCTGTTCCTGCTTTATAATGTTTACTATGTTAAAGGTGAAAAAAAAAATCATATCATGAAACTTCGGGCTCCTGAATAATTCAAAAATGTCAAGTAACTATGAATCTAGGACAAGATWTTTTGACTGAGTCAAAAATACTTGAGCACCTCTTTCCCATTGAAGCTACAGGAAAGAAGACATATCAAAAAGATAAGGTATTTTATCATGTGAAATGAAGAAACGGCCTTGCTTGCCAAAATTATCATCCCACATCACATCATGAAGCTTAGGCATTTTCCCAGAATAACCACAGGCACTAAACTTTTTTTTTTTTCGTGGGAGATATGTTAATAAAAAGAAAACAGATAAATATTTTAAATACAAAGTTTCATAAAGTTTAAATAAGTTTCATAAAACAAAGAATAGTGCTTAGCATATTTCAGTAGCATTGAAAATGGTAAYGGTTACTTGTGGGCAGGCAAAACTAAAGTCTTTGAAATGAGCTACAAAAGTATTTTTTCTAGTCCACATTCTGTTTCAGAACATACTACGGATCTGGGATCAACAGAGTTGGATTTTAATGAAACAAAATAGTACATCTGATGGAAATTATGCAGTTTACACATATTAAAGGCATGGTGATGGGTAAACTGCTAGAAACTCCGCTATATCCACAGTTTTGTAATCTTTCAAAAATAGTTATCTGACACTTTTATATGAATGTACTACAGTAATTCACTTTTATAGGAATCCATTATTGCAGGATCTACACCAGATAGCTGCCAGAGGGTTCTGGATAGCATTAAGAAGTATTTGCTACTGACTGTTATCTTTAAAGGACCAAGAATTTTGAATCATAGAGTAATTCAGGTTGAAAAGGACATTTGAAGGTCCTCTAGTTGAGCCTTCTTGCCAGTGCAGGTGTAATCAAACCAATTTGCTCAGGTCAGTCATGTCCCACACACATCCAAATATGGAGACTTCATAGCTTCCCTGGACAGCTTGTTTCAAAACTCAACCATCCTCATGGTAGAGGAATCTAACATCTATTGGAATCTCCCATATTTCAGCTTGTGTCCATTGCCTCTTCTTCTATTAATGTTCACCTCTCAAAAGAGTCTGGCTTCATGTTCTCTGGTCAGGTAGCTGTACATAGCAAAAAGATTTCTAAGCTGACTGTTCCCCAGGCTGGACAGTCCAACCCTCTCAGCCTCTCATATTCCACATGCTGGTCCTCTGATCAGCTTGGTTATCCTTCACCAGTCTTGTTCTAGTATGTCAATATTCTTGATATGGTCTTAGAAGTGTTGAATACATAGGAAGGAACACTCCTCTGGATCTGCTGGCTACATGTCCACTGATAGGGCCTGAGTTATGGTTGGCCCTCCTTGCTGTCAGGACACACTGCTGACTCCAGCTCATTAGGACCATCAGGGCCATCTCTGCAGAGCTGCTTCCAGATAGCCTGTGCCCAGCCTATATCACTGCATGGTTTATTCCATCACAGGGGCAAGGATGTTTGCTCTTGCTGACCTTCCTGATTTTCTTGTTAGCTCATTTATCCAGTAGATCCAGGCTACAACAGCCCTGCCCTCTGCCACATTGACAGCTTTCCCAATTTGGTGTCACCAGCAAATTTGCTGAGAGTCTCCACTTGGTGGTCTCAGGTTGTTGATGACAAACAGTTTTGCTGCAATACTGATCTCTGACAGACAGTGCTAGTTCCTGGCTGCCAGGTGGACTTTGTGCTCACAAATCTTTGAGTTCAGCAGTTCAGTCATTTTTTCCCCCAACTTATCCTCTATTTATCCAGCTTGGTAATAAGGAAGTTGTGGAATATTCTCAAAGGCCTTGCTAAAATCAGAGTGTACAATGCCAACTGGCTTTTCCTTGCCCACAGTGCCAGTCACCTTCACACAGAAGGCAATGAAATTRGTCAGGCATGATTTAGTCTTGATAATTTTGTGTTGGCTGCTCTCAGTCTCCCTCTTGTCCTTCATGTGTTTAGAAATGTCTTCTAAGAGGATTTGCTCCATAAACTTCCCAGAGCCTGGAGTGAGACTGACTGGCCTGTAGTTATCTGGATCTTCTTTCTTGCCCTTCTTGATGATGAATGTGACAATTGCCTTTTCCAGGCATCAGGAACCTTCCCAGACTGCCATGATCTCTCAGAGATGAGAGAGAGCTGCAAAGAAATGACATTGGCCAACTCTTTCARTGCTCTCAGATGCACCACATCTCATTTGTGTCCAAGTAGGTTATGTGATCCTTATCTCTATCTTCCTCCACTGTGAGTACCACTTCACTACCACAGGCTATGATCTTAAAGGCCTCAGGACATGACTTATCAGAGAAAACAAAAGCAGAAAAGATGTGGAACCTCAATTTTTCTTGAGGCTGAGGAACCTCAACCTTTTCCAAGTCACTTGTTGCTATGACCCCTGCTTCAYTGAGCAAGGCATCCACATCCAACCCTGCTTTTACTGCTGCCCTACTTAACTCTGTGTTGCCCTTCGCCTCCCTTGCTAATTTCAGCTCCAGCTAAGCTTTGACTTTCCTAACTCTTTCCTTGGTGTGCAGGCTATGTCTCTGTGACACAGTCACAGGGATATGGGACTTTGTCCCTCCTTCCACCTTCAGTGTACTTTCTTTTCTGTTAAAGTTCAGTCAGGAGCTCCACATTCAGCCATGGCTTTCTTCAGTTGTCTTCTGCACATTAGAATGGACTTCCTGTGCTCTGAGGAGAATGTCCTTGAAAACTAGCCAGCTCTCCTAGGCCCTTTCACTCTCGAAGAAAATTTCCCAGAAGATATCCTGCCATGTATGTCTCTTAACTCAGGACTTCCCCTAGTTTGTTTACTGATCACTASCATGACAAAATTGTTTTTAATATATTCCAAAAACCTAGAGTACTGACACTTAATTGCACAGATTTTCCAGAAAATGTCAGGGAGTTTAAAGTCACCCAGGACTACTGCAGCTTGTGACTGTGAGGCTTTCTCAAGCTCAAGACACTCCTCTGCATAGATTATAACCCTAATATAGTGCATCTCACACTGGCACTCAGGCAGCAACTTAAGGTACTAGCATCTTATATAGAGAGATATATATAGATATAGATATATAGATATATRTCTCAGGGTTCAAATATGAGAAAGTGCTCTATGGTCCTGAAAGGAAGGATATTGGGCTGGGTTTCCTGAACTTGGATTTCCTGAACTTTAAGTTTGCTCATTCTTTACAGAAAGTAATGCTTTGCGAAGAAACTTGAAATCATGATTTTCTGGCATTCTTCAAAATATATCTGAACCATATTTTAAGGAAGAAATAAGATCTTTTCAACTGAGAGGAAGCAGAACAGGAAACTTTATATAGAACTGATTTCAGTGATGTTGAAATACAGTCGAAATATTTTTACTAGTTTATAAATCACATGAAGCTACTATTACTTCAAAACAGAAGAAATTAAAGTCTTTGATGTGAAATACCATTGTTTTTTGAACTGTTCCTACAAAGTCACACATTTTCTTTATTTTCTGTATGTTCTGTGAATTTATCTTTCATSATAGCAAGCAGAGATCACTGTTTGAAACACTTGATCCAAAAACCATTTAATTCATGATCTTACACACTTTTAACCAATCTCCTCCAAATATTTCTGRAATATTGTTGCATTATATCTGCATAGAGTCTACACAATGGAATGTTTATATGATAACATAATGATAGACAATTTTAAGGTGTACAGTTTYAAATATGTCATAAAGCAATCCAAAATATTACAAACAATAAATTTGTTTATTTAAGCTTTTTTTCCAAGTGAAATATCCCATGGATCACATACATGTACAATCATATTTTTTAACAAGAAATAGGTAAATTRACAATGCATCATTTGATGCATATTCTAGGTAGCTGCCTGTCACTGTGTACCATGAAGTCAGCTCTCAGCTTAGCTTAGTCATTATGCCATGTATGCCATGTAGCAGTTCAAACTGCAGAGTGCTTGACATGCAGCTTTAAAATATCCTGAGGTTTTGGCTGTTATTTACCTCTTTGTAGTAGCAGGATTATTATTACTTTAGCAAATGCCTATAGCAAAACTTGGTTAAAAACTGAATATGATATTTCATGTCTTGACTTAGTATTACCCCGTAGCTATTGTTTACTTGGTTTTAGAAGCTTAGCAGAAAATCTGCCGAGCTGTTTGATTATGAGGGTGCAAAATCCAGTCAAAGATAAATAACAGAGAAAAAAGCTCTGAACATCCACAACATCTTCCAAATTAGATTACAAAAACAAAACAAAACAAAACACTAAAAAAAAAACCAACCAACCAACCAACCAAGCCTTCACCCGCAAAACTCATCATCAAATCCCCAAACCAAGTTCTTGTTTACGACAAATTCCCATTAAGCTAAGGATACCTATCTGGTGTTTCAAGGTAATTCACTTAAGCAATTCCTTGTGCTGTAACTTGATTTCTTCAAACTGGAGTAGCAATTGCTTACCTGACTCGCACGCAAATGTCTTTGACGTCTCATCATGAAAGATAATTGCCACTGCATGCTTCTTGGTCTCTCGAGGCAATCTGGTTATGTTTTTGATATTGTGCAGCTCAGTTACCTTAAAATAGAAAAAAATATTTTAGGTCAATATATAAATAGTATAAATAAAAATACTAATTACAACTATTCAATTTTCCCTACCCGCTTTTTTTGTTTCTTTAATGACACTCCTTAAGTTTATAAGTTTGCCACTATCAAAAACAAAATATATAAATAAGGCAACTCTGAAGTGGCAAAACTTTCTATCAAATTTAATGTATCAAAAAACCAATCTAATTCTTTAATAAAGTTCTGCATGGTCTTGTTATTCTTCTGTAATAGACTTTCCAATTCCTATGTTCATACAAGTTTAATCTTTCTCATAATATGCATCAAATTTATAGAGAGAGWAGAAATAGCAACATCTTAGTAGATAAGGGGTGTAACTTAATTATCATGTCAATTAGTGTCACTACATWTGTAAGGAATACAGGCTTATCTGTCTTCAAAGTAGCATTGTACTCCTTGTCAGAACTCAAAATTTAATTTTATTTTCCAAATGATTCAATAGTTTATCAATAAAGTTACATACAATATAGTAAACATACAGTAAAAAAACCACATCTATTTCCAGATTCCTTTGATGGAAGTAGATAACTACAATTAACACAAATGAAAGAAAAAAACTTTTTTCCAAGCAGATCTGGAAGTACAGCCTATTAAGCTGCTTAGTACTTCCCATTATGAAATCCTTCTCAATTCCTTAAATATAAACAGATCACGTTTGCTCAGAATTACAACTTTTCCAGGCAAGATATCTGTTATATATGGAATTAATGCTTTTTTCTTAGATGTCATCTATATGCATTTGGCCATCTATGATCAGTGAAAAATATATGATCAGACCTTAATATGATCAGACCTTAAAGTAAGGCTTGGGAGAGAATTCTTGTTTTAAATTCTGATGGGGTTTGTGTGCAGCTCTAGCATTCCTTTTCAGATGTGAGAAATGCTTGTTTTTAAGAGACAAATATTTTATATTGAACAGTAAAAAACCAGAAACACGTAGGGAGGGAAAAAAATCATACAAATACACAAACACACACACATATACAAAAAAAAAAAAAGAAAAAAAAAGAAAAGAAAAGAAAAAAAGTAAGAGATATCAAGAAACCAGAAAATTAAACTGGGAAATTATGAATTTGGTTGTATGTGTTCCTGTGACCAGGACTGAATATAGCTACAGGCAAGTGTCTACCTTGGTGGTCCTCAGCAAAATTTGTCTACTTTTCCAGTCGCTTTCCTGCACTGGGGTCCTAAAACCAGACACAGTGTCTAGAGGTCAGGGCACAAAGTTCGTGCTCCCTTAGTGAGCTAACAGGGACTTTCCAGCATGTATCGCGTATTGCTGCAGTGCTGTTCCTTCCCAGGGCTGGACATGACATTTGTCCTTGTCCAGTTTCACAAGGTCTCAGTTGGTCCATTCCTCCAGCCTGTCCAGATCCATCTGACAGCTCTGCCCTCAACTGTGTAAGTTTCTTCTCCCATGTAGACAGCTATGCACAGACTTGGTGAGAGTGGCTCCTCTATCTTCTCCTGACCACTGATAAACACATTAACCAGGACAGGCCCTTGTGCAGATCCCCACATATACCTCATTGACCAGCCGAGTATAACCTGTTAACTATGACTCTYCCAGACTGATCATCCAACTAGTAATTTTTATCACCCATTTACGCTATCTATSTCTCACGTATAAGAATATGCGGAAGACAGTATTGACAAGCTTGTCAAAGATCAGATAACAGAGATCCACTCTGTTGTCCTTATTCTCAAGGTTGTGTGCAACCATGCTGCTCAAGCATGATTTATCCTTAGTAAATCCATGTTGGTTGTCCCCAATCACTTTCTTCTCTTTCATATGCCTTGAAATGTGTTTTAAAAGGACTTGCTCCGTAGATCTTCCTAGGAACTGAAGCAAAGTTGACAGAGCTGTAGTAACCAGGTTGACATTTTGATCTTATTTTTTTGAAGAGAGGTACATTTGCCTTGTCATGGCAAATGACTACATCCATGAAGAGTCATGCAAGGACATCTGCTAGCTCTCTCAGCACCCTCAGCTATACRTAGGAAATATGTAAGAATGGTCAAGAATGACTCATACTCAGTATATCCCTGAGTACCTTGGTATACATTTTCCATCTAGACTTGGGAATCTTTGCATTACAGAGTTTCACCATTTTACATACAAAATATTATCAATGGATTAATCAATCTACAGAGCAACTGTATTTTATGCATTGAAACCTAGTAAATCCATGATAAGTCAATGGCAAAACTGGTGACTGCTGTCAAAAGGATTTAATAGATATTGTAGGACTACTTATTAATGATCAGGATGTTCCTGAATTTGTTGAATTTGCACCACTGCTCATCTTACAAGGCTAAGTTATTTTGGAAAGATAGTTGTGAACAAAGAGTATTTTAGGAAGCAAAAGGACTAAACAAAAAAAGAAAAAAAAATCTTTACCATCACAATAGTTTTACTTTTCTTTTTTTGTGAGAGCAATTTACTTTGACATTGTCAGTGTTAAGACTGTTCTCCTAGATATTAATTCAGAAACTGAAAATGGGCACCTTTCAGTGATGATTCTGTTTTTAAAAGACTTTGCATATGTAAAGTGACCATTGATGTCAATGAAGATCCATTCCAAGATTGCAAAATTGAGTCACAGAATYACAGAATCACAGAATCACAGAATCACAGAATCACAGAATGGTTAAGGTTGGAAGAGACCTCTAGAGAGCACCTAGTCCAACACCCGTGCTCCAGCAGGGACACCTAGAACACGTGGTACAGGGTGGCATCCAGGTRGGTTTGGAAGATGTCCAGAGAGGGAGACTCCACAACCTCCCTGGGCAGCCTGTGCCAGGGCTCTATCACCCTCACAGAAAAGAAGTTCTTCAGTTCTTCCTCATATGGAGATGGAGCTTCCTGTGTTTCAACTTATACCCATTATCCCTTGTCCTATCACTGGCCACCACTGAGAAGAGCTTGGCCCCTTCCTCCCTAAATTCCCCCTTCATGTTAATCAGATCACCTCTCAGCCTTCCATTCTCCAGGCTAAACAGGCCCAGCTCACTGTGTCTCTCCTCATACGGGAGATGCTCCATTCCCTTARTCMTCTTGGTTGCTCTTCTCTGGACCCTCTCGAGAAACTCCAAGTCCYTCTTCTACTGGGGAGCCCAGAACTGCACCCAATACTCCAGGTGCGGCCTCAYCAGAGCTCAGTAGASGGACAGGGTCACCTCCCTTGATCTGCTGGTAACACTCCTCCTCATGCAGGCCAGGATCCCATTGGCCTTCTTGGCCACRAGGGCACACTGCTGACTCATRGTTAACTTGGTGTCAACCAGGACTCCCAGGTCCCTCTCCATGGAGCTGCTTTCYAGCAGGTTGACCCCTAATCTGTACTGGTGCCTGGGGTTATTCCTCCCCAGGTGCAGGACCCTGCACTTGTCCTTATTGAACCTCATGAGGTTCCTCTCTGCCCAACTCTCCAGCCTGTCCAGATCCCTCTGGATGGCAGCAGAGCCCTCCAGAGTGTCGGCCACTCCACTCAGYTTGGTATCRTCCACAATGGTTATCATAGATTGTACTCTTATTTAATTATTACATTAAACTTGTTTTATTTAATATATTGGAAGAACACTTTCTATACGAGATCATTCACATATACGGAAATAATGTCAGAGAACAAAGAATAGCCTTTTATTTGCTCATGGGAAATTCATATTTGAAAGAGATCAAATTTTGCTGCCCCTGATTTTTAGTRCACACACAAGTGATTTGGCAGAATAAAAATGCAAGTGTTTGTGGGAAACAATCTCATTTTTTCCTAGATAGAAAAGAGCTTTTATTAAGTCCTGTTCAACTGCAAAGAGTTATGTGAAATGCCCATTATAGTATCTCCAACTTTTATATTTTTATGTCAACCTTTTTTTTTGAATTATTCATTGTTTCAAAGCAAGAGAAACAGCAGAAGTAGCATTCCTCTTGTGAGAGAAAGGTTACAGCTTTTCTCAATAACAGAAAGCTTTTCCCTTTTTAAATCTATTTCACCTTGAAATAATTCATTTTTCAAAAATTGCATTTTTTCTTGGAAATAATATTTTAGTGATGATTATAAAGCATCGTAAAAGTTTAGAGATGAGTGTGATGATATAGGGGTTTTGGAGAGATGTTTGTTAAGAAAAATATTGAAGGCTTTTGGGTAAACTAGTAGAAAAAAATAAAGAGAAAAAATAAAGTTTAGGACACAATCCCATCACCAAGTCTAATAAAGCAATGAATTTCAAAACACATAAAAGTTAAAACACTAGTTCTGGTTTTATCCATTGAGCATGTAAACTTGCTGGGGGGAAAAAAAAAAAGACAGTTAAAAGCAAGGTGATGCCACCTAGTCACCCTCCAGTGAGTGCTTAATTTTTAATAATCCTGTAGACGTATGAAATTTTGCTTTCATATTTATCTTTTGAAACTGTATTGTGTGGCTCTTTTCATAATCAGGGCACAGGCACAAGAGCAAACATTCTCTGAAAACCTTTCTCCTTTCCTCCCACTGATAGAACGAATAAATTTATTCAGCTTCAGGTTTCTGTTTTTAACTTCAGTGGTGCATGAGTCATTTTTCTAACCTCTGAATGTTTATGAGTAAAAACAATAAACACCAGAGAGTTTATATTATATTGTATATAGAAATGAAAACCAAACTTTGGTTAGACAATCAAGCTTCCTTTTTTAATATTACTAAAATTTAGTTTTAATTTTGATCTCTTCTTCATAATGAAAAAAATGCTTTTTAAAATGGAAACTACATGAACTTATATTTCTATCCAAAATTACAGAAAAAGACAAAATGTTTATGCATAATATAAACATAATTTCTTCTGAAAGAATATAAAGCACCTCTTTTCAAATTTTAGAAAGTATTTAAAGACTTTTCTTTGGTGGAAAATTTATCCCAAAACCTCTTTCTACACRACCAGTGAATTGGGCATATCAACTTTTTAAAGTAG